ACCCTCCGCAAAGCTTTCGGGAATTGATATTCAGGGGGACTTGCAAAACCAAGATTGCATGCACAGAAGATCTGACATGGTACGAGCACAGTGTTCGTCTTTTTGTCTGAAGAATGTTCCTGAAGTGATACACTACCGAGCTTGCGATCGGTTCTCATCTCGGGAAAAGAGAAGCAACGATCGACAAGCACGTGTGATTTCAAGCAAGAGACATAGAGCGCGATCATTTGGTCAATGCTGCCATCCCTGATGCTCAAGGATGGAAGATGTGGCAAAAAGTCGTTGCCCACGAAGAAGCACATGAAGACCTCAAGGAAAAACAACGGGAACGGGCCACACGCTGGACTGCCAAACCCTAATAAGAGCCAGACAAAGTCATCAACACACCTGCTCGGCAGATTCAGGATAGCCACGCTCTCCACTCTTCTGCTCATCGAACAGTCAGAACTTGCTCGCCTCTCGAAATCATACAGCAGAGTTTCTGGCATACGATTGACGAGCTCTGCGAATTGCAATTGAAGGTATTGGCCTGTGCACATCTTGCATTGCACATCACTGTATCAACGACAGGTTGCTTCAAGTAGCAGTCTGTCTGCTCAGGTCCCGACGCAACACAGGCAAAGAAACGATTTGGAAGGGCTTCCTCGTTTGTATACAAGGAAATGAGCTGTCGCGGTGGATTTCGGATGTCAACCAAACTGGGCCGGGCAGCTGGATGGCAATGCTGTCGTCCATGTCATCCCCGTCGCCGGTGCACTCCGAAGCAACATGGCCGGTGCCTGGGGCTCTCGAGTCGACGTCTTCTGTGCCCTGTGAAACTTCAGATCAATTCAAGGAGAGCTGGACAGCCTCCACAAAGGGTGCACTTCTTTTCCGCTTTTGGGATCACAACCTCCCGAATGATGGAGAAGTGCGCCTAGGATCACGCGCACATGTTGAACCGGGAAAATCCCAACAGCCGGAAGACCGAGCGGGCCGAGCGTGAAACTTTCCGAAGGCCGCAGAATCAGCCCAGCCAACGAATTACACGAATGCAGCGCAGGAAGAGTCTCATGCTTGACGGACCTTTCCCACAGTTTCCGGCTAGTTGTCATTCTAAAAGCGCCAAAGCGAAGCGTGCACGAAAAATCCGATTCCGGCACCTCATGGGTGGCCAGGCCCAGCATGATGAGATCCGCATCGGCACCATACAAGCAGTGCCTGCAAGCCGCATCGTTCCAGTTGTGAGAGAATCCTCCATAATCCGCCTGCCCCTCTAGCCTGGTGTTCGGATCGTAGTCCGGCTGTGCCCGCTGCAGTCGAATGAACTGCATGATTTTGTGCTCGCCCTCGCCTGATCGAAATACATGGACTGAACGGATGGCATGGAATGGAAAGTCGGGCCCGCAACAGCCTGTCGCCACGGCTAAATCGACAGCTTGAGCAAACTAGCCCCGAGCAAATGTAAATCACTAGTGCCACATCCTCAGAGCTTGCAGCCAAGGTACTTGGAACGTTTGCCTGAGAAGCACTGACAGCAAGTTCGGAATTAGTCAGCAACAGTCCTTAACCAAGATTACCGACTGGCCGTGACTGCTGGCAGCTCGAACATCAGATCATATCACATCAGTGCTGATTGGGCACATCCGACAGGATGACACGAAACTTGAGCTTTTGCCAGAGTGGATCGTTTGTCGTGCCTGGCATGAGGATTTCCTTCTGCACAGGCTGTCAGCCGAAAAGCAGTGGACAAACTGGTCTTCGGGCCTCTCCAGATTCCCTGCTGAGACCAGAAACATGCCATTAAGAAGCTTCCGATGCCGCTTCGAGAGTCTTGATTGAACTCTTGCCGGCTCCACGGTCGTGAATGTAGTACCGGATAGCCTCCCGATCACACGCGACCTTACCTAACTCAACTGCTAAATCGGCCCATGAAACCCTCACATCATGAGTGCAGCTTTCTTTCCTGACCTTTGCATCTAAACCGCGAGTACATGCGCAAGCGACAGCACCGGTAGCCTCCGACATTTTGTGCAGGAAGTTCGTTCCAGGAGTGATGACCTAGGAAGCTGTCATTGCACGAAGCACATTTCAAACATTGGGTCGAGTCGGCTGCTGTGCCGGTGCTTTTGAGAACAGTTGCACCGTGGCCGTGCTCGGGCGCCGAGCGTTAGAGTCGAAGACCTTTCCCGATGTTCTGTTGGGAAGTGTTCGCCCTTCTGCCTGCAGCATCACTTCGCTATGCATCGGATGGCCGCTTCAATGCGGCATGCAAAGGCAGAAGCCACGACTCATCGAATGTGGAAATTAATGTCATGCTGTGCAGAACTCGCGGTGACAGGCGCATGAGCTTAGCAGAAAATGGTGGGCACATGCAACAAGAACAGCAAGGAGAGGGCAGGAGGCAGGAGTGCAAGTGGCTATAGAGACGGCAGGATGCAGCGTGAGGCAACCGGCAAGGCAGGCACTCAAGCAGAAGCATCCAATACGAAGGACAGGGACGGTAGCTTGGAGGTACACGAGTACAGATTCAAAGGCACACGAAGACAGCAGGTGCGCGCATGCGACACGCACATACCGTTTAGTGCCTCCCAGTCTTGTCGGAGCCTTTCCTGTTCTCGCTCCATCTCCTCCCTCTCCTGCAAGGTCCACATTGGCTCCAAAGTACATGTTGGCTCGTATGTTCCAACATTTTGGATGTTCTTTTGCAGCCCGACAAGGCGGCCACGGAAGAGGCTTCTGGGCAAAGAGGGGTCGGAAGGAATTCTGTCCTGTGCAGCCCGGAATCGACGAGCGCGCTGCTGGTTCATTTTGGCACCTAAGGTTGCTGAGGAAGTCGCCGAGTTGTCATAGGAACCGCACCAAATTAATGTTCAGTCCCGTCACGCGGCGCGACACCATCAATCGCCATGTACACGAGTCGCTTCGGCCTGCAAGCTGTTCATGAAGAATTGTGACAGTGATGCCGTGAGCATGACTGCGTCAATCACTGCATTGGGCCTGACGATCCGGAAAAGGCGATCGAGATAAAGGAAGATGTTCTCGTACCTTCAGGCACTGGGACAAGGAGGCTCTAAACAGTAGAGCCTTCACGACCCACCTTACTGCGCATCACTGCGCATTTGTATCTGCAGCCTGGTGACATATGCTCCTCGTCCTCTGGTGCCGGCCCGTCTTCGGGATGGCAGCAGGGATGGATGATTCCTACAGCTGCCAACAATTGCGACAGTGCTGCTAAACGACGAGCAGCATCCAAGTTACGAGGGGATGCTGAATCTGAGACAATCTGAAATTCCCTGAACTTAAACGAGTTACAGTGTTGGAGCCGGGGTGTCGTGCTACTCAAATCTTATCCAAACATGCTGTCGGCCCACCGTTCATGTCCAAGTACAGATTGTCGAAATCGCCGTTCGGTGCCTTGGCCATGGAGTGGTTTGCCAGGCAACGAACAAGCAAACACAACCCCCCTGCGCAACATCGAAATCTACGATTCATTCAGGGCAACGGCCCAAGACTGCATTGGACTTAGTTTGTCTCCGTGTACGTGGCTGGGGAGTGGGCATCCTCGTCTAGGTCCACTGGCACCATTCGGCCGTCCATCTCCACCGGCTCTCGTTCGATTGTGTCTCGAATGACTTTGGGGTACCGGACGCAGATCCATCCTCGGAGATTTGCCACATGCTGGTCGATAGCAACGTCTGAACAAGGCTCGCCGGCGCATCATGCACACGAACCTCGAACCTTTTTCTAAACTGTTGCCGCTCAGGGGCTGAAAAAGGTCGGAACGCCCATGGCTCCACAGGCGGGTTCCCGGGCGACTACAGACTATGGCCAAGAGGTGTATGTCAGGGATGCTGAGCTGGGGTGAGAGGGAGGGGGGAATGCAACAGTTGAAGCAGTGCGGTCCCCATTCCAGTCCTGTACTGTCGGCAGTTGCCTTCATGGCGTGGAATAGCATGTTGGCCTCCAATTGGAAGACCCCAAAAGGTGATGTGCTGTAATGTTCAACACGCTTGCAGGCACAGATGATCGCACGCTGGACCGTGCTTTGATTTGATTCATTTCGAGTCCTGCAGTCTTCGAGCCACATGACCAGGCAAGGCGGGTTCGGCAACGTGCGGGTGAGCGAGCATACTCAGTGGAAAAGTTCATGCAACCCCACAGAGAATTGAAGCTCACCCTGCCAGCATCAAAGCGTGGCCCACGGATTCCAGGCTCCGATCCTGAGATCCGGTAGTTGATGTGCAGGTAGGTCCGTGTCAATGCCACATAAGTCAAGCCAACCTCAGCTCGCCCAGCCCATTGCACGACTGGGCGAAAACTACAGGAGGGTACTGCAACTCCCCGGGAGCGGGGCCATGAAGCTTCCAGCAACAATGCATGCAGCGACCTTGCACCACTCGACGGTGAATTGCTTCGCCGCATGCTTGTAGCCGTTTTGGCTTGCTGTCGTTGAGATTATGGCGATCACTCCAAGATTTGCTTCGAGTCACGTTTTAATTTGCTGCGCAATTGACAGGAGCATTGCTTCAAGACTTGAGGGTGCGTGAAAACCCTCCACCCGTTTGCTTGACCCTTCATAAGGTTGCATTTTCTCTTATCGTTTTACAGGACTTTGGGACTGAGGATGTAGCAGCAGCAACTGCAGCAGCAGCAGCAGCAGCAGCAGTAGCAGTAGCAGTAGCAGTAGCAGTAGCAGTAGCAGTAGCAGTAGCAGTAGCAGGAACAGTTGCAGTAGTAGCAGCAGCAGCTACACGTCTTGTAACGTCTGTCGGCGCAGAGGATTCACAAGCAGTGACCGGCAAACTCGAGTGAATAACCTGCGTTTTATCACAGAAGGATCTGCTGTCGGTTACAGCAAAAACTAGCTAAAGCATCCCGACGGGTGTCTGTGATTGTCTGCATGCTGCTTTGATATAAGTTGTAGCTTTTATTCGGGGCTTGGCCATCCTGTGCGTCTTACAGCAACCTTCCGACTTACGATCGGGGAATGTGAGAAAGCAGTTTTTTGCCGCAAACCTGCGCCACCTTCGCTGGATTGTTGAGTCGATGCTTTCATACGCCTTGATGTGCCTCGTACCAATATTTTTTTTCGACAACACTCGTAACTTGTGGTCGCAGAACCGGACGCGACACTGTGACTGGAGCATAGAGTCCAACTTGCACATCCAAGAATCCAGTCTATCGGACCCCATAGACTGGACACATCTGGACACTATGTCAGTGCGACCTCGGACGGCTCCATGTTTCCAGACTGATCAGCAACACTAAGACATTGCAGAAAATGAAACTCTGACAGTGGCGAGAGTTGCACAGGCTCCTTACATCGGCACCGGTACAAGACTTGAATCATCCAGACTTGGATGATCAAGGAGACTGGGAGGAACATGTCGGGGAAGTCGGAGCTTGGGAGCCATTGGCCCCGCCCGCCGACCCTAGCCCTACCACTTCAACCACCAGGACAGGAGATCCAATCCGGAGAGCCGCTGCTGGGGGATCTGTTCAACTCTCCCACCGAGATCCCTGCGGAGGACACCTACAGCCCATCAGATCAACACACTTCATGACTCCAACCGTGTGCGGGACTAGGTGAGCCCAAACGGCCGACGAGCCCAGACAGGGCTTGTCTCCTGGCTTGGGGGTCTACGTCTTGCCGCCAATGCCCTGTCTTCCCACAGCGGCGGGTGTTTTCAGCAGGGCCTCGTGCTGCCTCTGCCCTTTACGATGTGGTAGGTCTCAAGGACTCCCACACCGCCACGGGTGAGCTCCTTGCCGCGGAACTGCAGGAAGTGGTCGACCATCTCGTCCTGGGACATGGCGCGGATGTAGGACTGCATGTGCAGGCCCACGACTGGGAAACCATCCGGCATGCCCTGGATCACCAAGAGACCATCCGTACCCTTTTCTGTGGCACCCAAGCCCGGGCGAAAATGCTCATCATCCAGAGATGTGGGGGGAGGTGACCTCGCTCTCGGGCCACTGGATCACCTGGTCCGGCCTCGTCGTCATTGGTGCCAGGATCGCACCATCAATCTCCGCAGCTCCCTTGCTGCCGCAAATTCCTCAACAACAGTCCAAGCAGCGGGGGTAGCTGGTGCGGCCATTGCGAGCAAAGGCGAGCGATGGGAATTTTTTCGAAAATACGCGCGCAGGGACACGAGCCAAAATGGCATTCGCTTTTGTGACTCGAGCGCATTCCTGACATAAGGCATTGCACGGGCGCAGGCTGAGGCATCGAAGCATGTCTTCGCCAACGCGATCTGGGCTGGCGAACGAGCGGTGACTAGCACATCCATTGCTGCTTCTGTCCAGCTCGAACGCACTGAAGCTTCCGAAACGGCCACTGGTCGCCGTCATTCACCAGTATCCAAGCACGAAAACAACACATCATGCTTCTGAACTCCAATGTGTCTGACTATCCGCCTAACTGTTACAAGGCCTTCATCGAGCGAAGAGCACAATAAAATCAGTGACCCGAAGACGTGCCGCGCGTGGCATCCAGAACAAGCCGTGCAGTGACGGCAAGCACGTGCACGCGCGCGCGCACACACACACACACTGACACACACACACACACACATTGACTGGCTGACACCAACACTGACAGAGTGAGAGGGACAAACGAAACAAAAAGGCGGGGTCCCCTTGAAGCCCCACCTCCAGAGGCTTCGTGGACAGGGAGTCTCCATCTGGTTCCGAACCCTTTCAGGCAGCAGGACTTATTTCCACGTCATTGGAGAGTCACTGGCTACCACTTGATATATGCGGCCTCGGAGGCCTCATCGGAATCGTCGTCACCTGCGGTCCAACACGAATCTCTGCGGGCAGTGGCTGCTAGGCAGCAACTGCTACTGATGGAACAACCGTTCACGTCAAGTGCAGCTGCACGTCACGCGTTTCAGGATGCAATGCAGGCAATCCGCATGCAATGTCCCTCTCTGTGCGCTTCTGTTGGGGCTCTGGCCGTTGCTTCCTTTCCTGTACCTTGGACGAGTAACGACTGCGAGCACGGCATGGCACAGCAGTGTCATCAAGTTGCGAAACTGAGCCTGAGCCCTCCACGACCCCATCAATGCTCTTGAGGAGTCACCATGTTGAACCCTGCACACAGACGTAAAGTTTTTGCATCGCGTACCTTCAGATGCCATGCTCGCAGAGCCGAGGCACCCATTCGCACTGCCATTGCCGTTCGGCAGAGGTGCTATGACGTCTTTATCGTCTCCACAAACTGCCGCCTCTCAGGCCAAGCTCGTGATCTAAGAAGGTTTGCACGCTCAATGCAGCGACCTCGCAGGGAAAGGACTCATCCTCCTGTGCCGAGTACTTGCCTCCGTCCTCGGAGCTATCAGGAAGTGATCGCTCTGGCAAGTTGGGTCATGCAGTCCAGGAGTGTCAGCTTTGCGGTACGTAGACATAGTCATCCACATCTGTAACCGAAGCTGTATTTGCTTGCCTCTTCTGCAGGTTGAACCTGACACACGAATGCAAGAAGACATCTCAGACTGTCGGCTGAGAAACTCGGGATTCGGCCGACCATGCCAGCAAAATGGCTCCCATGCAGTACCTCTGCTCCCATCGGTGTTCCGGTTATCGCAAAAACGTCTCTTGCACTAGCCATGCGGGCACGAGATGAAGTACCAGTAGCCATGTGTGAACCAGCCCTGCATCATCCGGGACTCTCGGTTGCAGGTGGTTTTGCAGTGACATCTAGCACTGCTATCACCAGAAGCATGGCTCATGTGTGACCGGCACGGGAGTTGAGGAAGCTGTGATCTGTCCACGAGCACAAACCACACAACAACTCAACAAAGAACATGGAAGGCGCTGGGTTTGTAGCATCAGAAGGGTCTTACCCTTGATTCTGCACTGCTGCCTTCTTCTACAAGACGGGCTTCAAACACAACCAACATTGCTATGTGCGAGGTGTTTGGTTTTGTCGGTCCCGACATGCGAGGGGTTACTAGAAGACTAACAAATACTTATTGCATACCAACGAGGTGGCACAGAGACGCAGATTGCCTGCCACCTCGAAACGACAACCACGGATTCGGTCTATCCGACTCAGCTCATGGGGATTTACCAAACCCCTGAACAGCCGATGCATGGAATCGACAGAGACTTGCGAGCTCGCCCCGAAGAGGGTGTCGCCGGGGCCAGGCATGTTGGCTATGCCAACGATGAGCCTGCTGTCACTGGTGCGTGATAAAACGTGCACGTCCGGTGCCCAGAACCAGGCTGCGGGCATCATAATGCATGGCTGTGTGAAGCGCATCGGAGCCTGGATAACTTGGGAAGTCCCTCCAAGTGCACGGCTCATGATAAGAACCCGGCCAAATTCATCACATATGCTTGCATGGACGTATAGAGGTCATCAGGGATGAAGGACGGCCTCATCGGGACATGCTTCGACGTCCTACTGAATGCAAACCTGTGCTGAGTCCTGTGCCGGAGGAGAATGAAGAAGAAGAGAAGGAATTGGACAGGCGGGAGCTGCCAAAGCAGCTTCGCACAGACGGATCTTCTACGTGCACCGCTGCAAGAGTCGCTGATACAGCAGCTAGTTCCATCTCCCAAGCTGCGAAAGCCATGCCAAAGCTTCGAGCGCGAGCTCACCCCGCACATGTGCTCTGCAGCTCAAAGCACCTTAGCCTCGGGCCTCGGTCACCTCCGAAATCAGAGCGAAACAAAGCAAGCCAGGTGTACGATCATGGCGTTGTAGCTCACCACGAAAGCCGAACAAGGCAGCCGACTGCACACGAGGTAGATTTCCCGCTTCTATTTTGATTAGGATC